AGCAATGTGACCACTCTGACCAATGAGAATCTCTTCTGAGCCTTCTTTGTTTCCGGATGGGATCCTAGAAGGTGTTGTGAATTAGTCCACCTTTTCTTTTTTTTTTTGTAAATACACCAATCAAGGGTAATATGTTCTTAAAGTGACACTAAATCTTAACAATTAACAACAATGTATCTTATTTGTGTATCAATAGGCTGTAGATCCTCAAATCATCTCTGAATTGGTGCTGACACTGTCCTTCCTTCTGGAGGGTGGCTACTTTTGTTCCCCATGGTCTTTGTGTGTGTTGTAAAGCAGCCTCCGCTCCAAGCTTGCTTCCTATAACTTCAATACAAATGAGTAGTGATGCACCGATACTAGTATTGGTGCTGATACTGAGTATTTGGGCAAGTATTCATACTCACCCAAATACTCTCGATGCTTATGCTGATAGCGGAACTTCAGGTATCAGGAAGCCGTGCAACAAGTCATTACATGCCGCCAGCTTCCTGATTGGCAGAAAAGCCAGCTCCATGCTCCCCCGTTACCAGGGAGCAAGGAGCTGACTTCCCGGGCAATCAGGAAGTTGGGCGACAAGTCATTACCCGCCCCCTGGCTTCGTAATTACATGCCGCCAGCTTCCTGATTGGCAGAAAAGCCAGCTCCATGCTCCCCCGTTACCAGGGAGCAAGGAGCTGACTTCCCGGGCAATCAGGAAGTTGGGCGACAAGTCATTACCCGCCCCCTGGCTTCGTAATTACATGCCGCCAGCTTCCTGATTGGCAGAAAAGCCAGCTCCATGCTCCCCCGTTACCAGGGAGCAAGGAGCTGACTTCCCGGGCAATCAGGAAGTTGGGCGACAAGTCATTACCCGTCCCCTGGCTTCGTGATTGGCCGGAAAGCCGACTCCATGTTTCACCGTCACCTGGTGATGAGGGAGCATGAAGCCGGCTTCCCGGCTAATCAGGAAGATGGGGGGGCAAGTCATTACATGCTGCCCGGCTTCCTTACTGGGACTTCCGGTATTGGTATTCGGTATCAAAACAACCGCTATCAGTGCATCCCTACAAATTATTAAACTAAGTTTGAGATTGTAGGCCATCACGAGAGTGAGCTTGGAGCGGTGACTACTTTACAGCACACACGGACTATGGGGGGAAAAAAGTAGCCACCCTCCAGAAGGAAGGACAGTGTCAGCACCAATTTTGAGATGATTTTAGGATCTACAGCCGAGTGATAAACAAATAATAGGGTACAGTTTTGTGAACAGTTAAGGTACTTGGATGCATTTCTAGGATGTAACTCCTAAGTTTAGTGTCACTTTAAATGGTGTCTCTATTCTGTCCATCCCATCTTTCTATAGCTGTAATTAGTTTACTGGGATCACCCCTGGAAATCACTTTTGGAGCTTTCAATACCTGCTTTAGATGCCTCAGCTCCCTGAGTCCTCAATCCTTGTAACAGTTGGCTGAACAATACATTAAGCATCTTACAGGAAGCACCCAGGGGCCTATATGTTAAAAACAGGTGAAAGAAGGAATCCAATCACAGTGACGTATTACTACAGAAAGTTGAGTTCAGAGTGCCAAGGGACAGGAGTGATAAGCAGAAATGTGGTAAGGAGGCACCTATCTGACAAACAAAGACTACACAAGTAGAATTCATTAATTGCGCAATGAATAGGAAGCTTCAGTAGGAGTACAACATTCATTCGAGGAATGCTTTACTAATGGGCATTATTCACTCCTGGTATCTTTACTGACAGGCTAAACAAAGAACACTCCCTATTTACACTAGACAGTGCAAGTTACTAAAAGTCATTTTCTTTTAGAAAATGACTAAATGCTGGGGTGTAAGAGTCTCTTAGAAGTATTACTCATTGCAGTTATGAATCACCCAAAACCTTTTGGAATGGCAGTAATATTTTTTTTGCAGAAGGTAAAGTAGAGCTGAGAATAATCCTTCTAATAAAGAGTTTTAAACCTTAGTAGCCCATGGGGCTCAGTTTGAACAGAGCGCTCTGTGCTAATCTCTCTTTTTCCCTTCCAACCAGAATTGTCCATATGAATTAAACAAGGTTTTTGGGTCATCATACTCAGCCTGCTACACTGGCATTTGTGCGTCCATCACTTGAATCCTTACTCCTCCTGTTACCATCTCCAGGGGAGTTGGACAAAGAGCTGCAAGGGGGG